AAAAAAAAAAAAAGAACTTTATTCCTTAAGGCTACTCCTAAGTTTAAATGTGAATGTCCTAGAGAGGTAGGACAGAATTTCTACCATTAGTAGCACCTTTTTTTTTTTTTTTTACAGTTTTTGGCTAGGGCTGGGTTTGAACCCGCCACCTCCAGCATATGGTGCCAGCGCCCTACTCCTTTGAGCCACAGGCGCCACCCAGCAGCACCTCTCTAAGGCACTAATGGCACCCCAGAAGGAGCCGGGGAGAGGAAACCCAGCTGCTAAGAGCTAAGACCCAGCTGTGGGGTTGTAGACAAGAATGGGCTGGGGACAGAGCAGAGGCAGGAGGCCAGGGCTCACATCACCTTTGCATGGGGGTGATATGGTGGTTAATGCGTTCAGAATTCGGACAGACCCAGGCTTAAATTCCACACAGTTGTGTGTCCTAGACTGATAATGTAAGTCTCAACTTCCTCATATATAAACTTGAGATAATAGCCAGTTCACAGGGTTGGGATGTAAGAGTTAAATGGAAAAAAAAAGTGAAGTGCCCAGCACCCTGCCAGCCATAACATAGACATTGCATAAACAGAAGCTGTTAATATTACTGTGACATCTATTTCAATCATGTTTTTGAGTGGTCATGCCTATGGGACAGTGTGAGTATGGGGGTGTATGACCACTTATTCTTGCTACATGGCTCACCCTAGACCCCTCACCTTCTTCCTTTTTGGGAAGCCACCACCCTGTTCCCCTCCCCCAACTGGTTTTCAAGGGAGGGCACCAGGGCCACCCCTAGGCTCCAGGCCAACGTGTATCCTCTCTCACTTATACTGGGAAAATAGAAGCCTTGTGTGGTTGTCACCCAACTCTTTCCCTGCCCACTCCTCTCCACTGAGCACTTCTTCCCAAATCCAGTCCTCCACTTGGCCATGGAACAAATCCCCTCCTCCCCTATGGGCACCCTGCTCCACAAGTGCCCCTTTCTCCTGCAGCCTCTGTCCTGTTCTGTCTGCTGTTCCCACCCAGCTGCCACCAAACATGCTCAAAGCTCTTCTTTCCTTAAAAACCAATCTTGCCTCCTCCAAAGAGACTCTTGCAGCACCCTCCACCCGCTGAACCCCCCCCACACCTGTAGAACTTGGCCAGGCCCCACCCTCTGTGACTCTAAGAAGCAGCCCCCTGGGGCCTTGCTGGCCCTGGCCTCCAAGCTGGGGGGAGAGGCCTTCTGACCTTCTCCACAGCAGTGCATTCTCGCTTTCATGACATTCTACTTTCTTAGCCCCCCCCCATTCTCTTTCTCAACATTTGTTGGGCGATTTGGGGCACTTCCTGTGTACAGACCCTTTGCTGAAAGCACAAAGAATCACTAGATAATCTCCCTGCCCTCTAAGAGCTGCCCATCTGGTGTTCCTCTCAGACTGTGCCATCTCTAGCAGTTCCTTTCTTCCAGTCTCCTCGGAGTTTCCCAGGATGCTGTTTCTGTTTTTGACCTTTTCTCTCCCCAGTCTTGTCTTCAGACTAGCAACTCTGGGCAAATGGCTCCCAAATGTCTGTTTCCAGCCTGGCCCCTCCCAAGCTCCCTTCCTCCTGGATGTTCCCAGTGGTCCACCTGATATATCCATCACAGCCCCCAGCTGGCAAAAGTGAGCTCCTTCTTTCCCCTCCTCCCCTGCCCCTGCCTCCTGGGCTTGCAGCCTGCCCCACTCTGGGGCTCTCTAGATCAAATCCTGCTTCTGCCTCTCCATGTCCCTACCTTCACTCATAATGTTTCCTCTGTCAGGAACCCCTTTCTGGTTTTGCACGATCTCAAACTGGGTGTCTTTCAAAGCCTACCACAAATACCTTCTTCTCCAAGAAACCTTTTTTTGAGTCAAAACTTTTTGGAATTCTAGAACCATGGCATCTCCAGGACAGGATTCTGGCCATCAGAGTCACAGTAGGTGATGCCACCTCTTATACTGTCTTCTCTGGCACATGTAATTTTCAACTTGGCATGGGAGTCACCCAGATGCATGCTTTATTTCTGGAGGGGCAGTGTAGCTCCTTTGACTCATCCTTCTCTTCTCCATGAGACGTATCACAGAACATTGTGTGGTTATTGCAGAATAGGCACTTAAAAAGTATCTGTTGTTGAAAGGATGGGTAAAACCATACATGACTAGGGGGATGGATGCATAGATAGATGCATGGATAGATGATGGATAGATGCATGGATGGATGGAGGATGGATGGATAGATGCATGGATGGATGGATGGATGGATGGATGGATAGATGGATAGATGCATGGATGAATGGATGGATAGATGGATAGATGCATGGATGGATAGATGCATGGATGGATAGATGCATGGATGGATGGATGGATGGATGGATAGATGCATGGATGGATGGATGGATGGATGGATAGATGCATGGATGGATGGATG